TTTTCTTTTCTTTTTTCTTTCTATATTTCGTATTTAAGTTTGGTTATTTAAATTATGAGTTTGTTAATTCTTAAAAACTTTGAAATTTAGCTTGATCAAATTTATGTCTCAAGTGAGATTTTTTTTATTTATTTAAATTCTATTTGGATTTATAAACTTTATTGTTACTTTTATTTTGTAGTATCTAAATTTTGCATAAAAGTTTTTTTAAAAAAAGTTACTTGGATGTATTTTGTTGATTTACTTGATTAATAAATTTTTAAATGAATTAATGTTTGGAGTTGTAAAATTATTAATAAAAAAAGGTTATTGCAAAACAGAATATTTGAAAATACAAAATTAACGTAATCTCGCAATTCACTTTTTTATTGATTTTTTAACGACGTTGACTAAAAGAGAAAAATATCCATGAGAGTAATAGAAGTTTGAGTTTTGGTGAAGAAAATGTGGAGAGTAAGGGAAAGACAAAGTAGTTACTAATCTTGTGAAATTTTCCTATCCATTAAAATTTTAAATAACTTATAATTTTGTAAAATTAATTTATAGAAATTACCCCATAAAACTTTATATATTTCAACTATTTGGTTCATTTTTTTCAAGATAAACTATTTATATTTTAACCTTTTGTCATATTAAATAATGAAAATAATTAACCATTCATTAAAAAAGAAAGTGGAGAGATGGGAGAATGTGAATGGGTGGGATGAAAAGAATTGAAAAATTGAAGTTAATTTTGAGAAAAAGTTGTGTACCGTTTAGAGAAAAAGAGTAGTAGAAAGAGATGGAGGAATGTGAATGAGTGGTATAATTTTCGAGAGAGAGAAATGCCAAGATTGTCATCAAAGTAATAGATAAAAAATTCAAAATTAAAGGGCAAAATAGAAAAATAATACACAAGCTTTGAATTTGGTTCAAGTTATTGGAGATTTTCCTTGAAATTCATTTCCCCATAAATGGTCTTAGTAAAAAGAAAAGACATAAATTAATTAGGTTATTATTTTGTGATAAAAGCAATGGTACGTATTTGAGGTTAAGAGAGTTTTACAAGTAATTAATTATGACACAAGACTTGTCCCAATTCCTTGAACAATCTTAAAATGTCCACCACCACTAAATAAGCGTTTACTTTTACCCTTTTCTTTGTTGGAACTATCCATTATTAATGGTCTCTTTCTTTGTACATGAATTTAACCATCTTCATCTTACACCAGTTTTGAAAAATGGTTCAAAAAAAATTTGTATAATCAAATTTGTAAGGAATCAAACTCACACCATCTTGATTGAAGATGTATATCAATTATCGGCTGAACTATGATCGCTTTGGCAACCACTGACCTATAGTTGATTGTGCTGAAAGAAATTTAATTCGTGGAATTGAAATTGATTTTATATTAAGTTTAGGCAGTAAATGCAATTTTTAATATTTTACTCCTCAAACCCTTGTTCCTTCATTTGAGCATTACATTTCTAGTGAGGTCTTGTGATTTGTTGATTTTTTGGATCAACCAATTGACTTGTCCATCTCTTTGATCTCCTCTTTGACTAGTTGATCTTTAATTTAGAGCGATCTTTCTGTTGATCTCTTTCTTTGAATCGACCTCTTAGCTTACTGATCTCTTTCTTTGGATCAACATTTTGGCTTGTCAATTACCTCTTTAGAGTGGTCTTCCGAACTTGTATCGACATCTTTGGATCAATCTTTCGAACTTGTCAACCTTTTTGGATTGGTCTTCTGGACTTGTCGATCTCTTTTAGTGGTCTTTTCACACTCGTCGACCTTTTTGGATTGAGTCAATCAATGTCTTGCAGTCTTGTACGCTTCAGATGTCTCCAAAGTGTTAAGATCCTCAAAGTTTTTAAGTCTTCTAGAGTCTTGAATATTCAATTCAATTTGTTGGGAGTTTTATCTGTATTCTTTGACTTTTGAATTCGGAGGCTCAAAGGAAGACACGTGACATTATTTAAATTTACTATTTTTATCATTCTAACGGTTTCACTTAATATATTCAATCAATTTGTTCTACACGCTCTATTTTAATGTTTAAAAAGTCGTTCTTTTATTATATGCAATAATTCTAAGTGTACTTATAAAAAGTTAAGGGTTAAAATTGCCTGTTGACTTAGACTAGTTCGTTTGCCTGCAATGACCATTGGATCAATTATATATTATTATAGGAAAATCTAATGGGTAGCTTCGTTGTGTATTATACATATTTTTTAAAAAGTAATTGTAAATATATGATTTTAAAAAATAATTGTAAATATAGTAACTTTTTAGAACTAATAAATTATTTGATTATATCATTCATTAACATAGATGATTAGCTTATATATCAATTAAGAAAAATTTCAATGGGTGGCGATTTATATTGTCAATTCTTTTTAAAGTTTGTTGTGCATATAAATTTTTACATGATTTTGATTATAATAATTATAGTAAATCATTAGTTCTGATTACCTTGTCAAGATTTGTAGCTATCTTATTATTATAATATAATATATGTAGAGTAATATAGACGAAAGATACAAGATTTTAATATGACATCAAATAATCAAGAAATTGTAAATTAATAACATCTTGTGATTTTTTTTATTCCTATGTTTAGATTAACATATTGTCAATTTTCTTTTCATGGTTTGTTATCAAAATTACAATTTGTTACTATCTTATTCATAATAAGTAGATTAAAAAAATTATAATACTAAATGTGCTAAAGATTGAATAATCTCGAGATGAATTCTACGTAAATGATGGATGGGAGTGGTGAGAATTCAGACCGACGACTTTTTTTAAAGATAATAAAAATGTCATATATATTAAATTATGTTCCTATTGACATAAAAATATATTTTTTAAAAATTTAAAATTTATCATTATAAACAATAAAAATCTAGTTTAGAACTATAATACAAAAGAAGACGCTTTTGAGAGAATACTAATACGGTGCTTAAGAGGTAGCTTTATGGCAAACCTAAAGTTTAAGTAGCCTATCACGATTTAAATAGCTTGATTACGGAATTGAAAAATCCCAAGAATTTAAAAACAAAAAAAATTTTGGATGTACGAAAAAAAAATATAAATTTAGGAGAAGTACCTATTTGGTCGCTGAGTTCTCATCTATATGTCACTTTGGTCTTTATATTTTATAAAAAAATATAAATTTAGGAGAAGTACCTATTTGCACTTTCAATCTCTAAATTTTTAAAATAGGTTCCAGTTATTTTTTATTAGAAAAATATTTAGCTTGTTACGACTCATCTTCACCACTATTAAAAAATTGACAATTCATTATTTTTCTTTTTACATGGATCCCACCCCCTCGCAAGTGGGAATGCGACTTCGAATCCAGTTGCAGTTGAATTCTGTGCCTCTTTCATATTTATTTATTTATTTATTATTATTATTTTCTTATTTATTTATTTTGAGTAAACTGTTCCATATTTATTTACTTGTTCATTCTCTTGCATTTCATTTCCATCATGAATTGATATTCATTGTGCTTCGACTCTTCTCTTCGGTCAGTGATCTTATTCCATTTCCTTTTCTTTATTCTCTACTTATCATATTGGGTTTCTTTTGTTTTTACATTTGCGACTCATCATTAATTCTTTTCTGCCTTTAATTTTATTATCTATTGTTTCCTTCCATTTCCCCACTCGCTTTTGCTTCAACCCATCTTATTCTTCTTCGTACCGTTACTTTCAATTCCATTTTGGAGTCTTCGTACTTTAAAAAACATGTCTATTTGATCCTTTTTTGCAAAATTTTAAACGATCGGACCAAAACTTGCTCACTTGTACCTTTATTACCAAATTATTAATATCTATGAGATTACATCTTAATACCAATTGATAATGAGAGGAGTAGTTCATTTTCGATGTGACCCTTTAGATAGTGCCTCTCTTGGGTTAACAATCTTAATCGGATCTTATTTTTGAACTGGATGTTCGTTTGAACTTTTGAGATTTGATATCGTATTAATATTTATGAGATTTTTATCTCAAAATCAATTCACAAGTCATTTTTAATTTGGGATCTTTAGAGTTTCCCGAGCTACAAAACTTTTTCTTTTTCCTTTTAGCTTATTTATTTTGTGTGGTTCCCCTTCGATTCTTTTGAAAGTGGCGTTTTTGTGGGTGTTAGTTTTATATTTAATTTAAGCACTTTGAACAACATCCAAATTATTTTTTTTAGATCATCATTAATAAGTGATTATTTTAAAAAGTGAATTTTAGAGCAAAAGTGTGTTTGTAGTTTTTTTTAGAGTTAAAATAATATTTTTGATCTTTTCATAGTTTTGATTTATTTTGGTTTCTGTATTCTAAAAGAGTTACCATTTTGTTTTCTTAATTTTATTTTTAATCACATTTTCTATCATAATTTTAACACAATACTACCATCAATATATTTTCCATTACTTTATATTAAATGATTTCCATTATATGTAGAATTTGTATTAAAATTTTAAAAACAAGAAATAAAATGATAACTTTTTAAAGATACACGGATTTCGAAAGTACAAGGACAAAAATAAACTAAAGCTAAAAATTCAAATACTAAAGTATCAAGTAATTTTATTTATAGAACTTCTTTTTTTAAGAGTGATCCCTAATACTAGATTAGTTTTTTAATTAAATCCCCTGATATTAAAAAAGCTTCAATTTAATTATTTATGTTTCAGAATTTTTCAATTATACCATCACTGTTAATGAATATTAAAATTTGTCAATTATAAAACTACATAACATTATAATATTTCATGAGTTGCTACAAATTAAAATAATACTGCCTACCAAATTTTCTTTTCTAATTTCCCTTCGAAATCAAGAATTTATAAATTGAAAGTTATAAGACATTTTTTTAAAATTCAATAAATTATTTGACAAAAAGTTAAATTTTTTTGACTTACCAAATAATACCAAAATTTTAGTTTATTCATTGAATTGTAGTGTACAAACAAAAAACTGAATTTGGAGAGCATACAAACGCGCCGATACTTTTGTCTCCAAAACTCAAACGCCAGTGGAGATGTTTTCCTCATAGGATCAGGTCCCACGTCGCCCACATTCGTAGTTTATTGTTATTTTCCATTCCAAGGTCAGCGAGGCGCAGAAACGCAGCCGGAGAAACTGGGGATGCAATTTCGACCGCCGTAAAGGCCGCCACTTGTAAATGCATTGACACACTTCTCCCATTAATCCCCTGTTCTGTTTTTGCTTTTACTGCCCCAATCCAGTACTACGAAGTTAACAGCAACAACCCCAGATAGCTAATGGGCTAATTTTCCACTTTTCGAATCCCTTTTCTTGTGTTGCATTATGGGTTTCGTTTCGATTTTCAGCCCCGGATGTTTCGTTTAAGATCATTACTCTGTTCTGGGCATTCTACTGCTGGTGAGTGGTGAGTGATCTATTTTGATTCTCTTCTCTGCTTCTTGTGTTCCCCCCTTTCGATTTGGTTCGGTTTGTTTGCAAACGGTTCTTTCTGTCAATTTTGGGATTTTTTTTTGTTTATGGGGTTCCTGATGTTTGTTTCTGGATTTTGTTCTGTTTTTTTCCTCATTTGTGCGGTTATATGACTTCGTTTTGCATGATCGGAATTTTGGTTTGGAATATATGCGATTTCTGCACAAGATTTTGATTCTTTAGAATACCTTTCTTTCCCTTTCTTTCTAAAGTTTACTACTAACGAAACTTGAGAATTGACGTCTGAAATTGTAGAGAATATATATATATATATATATATATATATATATTTGTACTTTAAACAGTGATTCCTTCGCTTTCCCCCGCCGTTCTCCTTCCCCAGAAATTTTATGGTCTGAACTGATGACCCCACATGAAAAAGCCAAAGTTTATTTTATTCCTTCAATACCAGCGCCTGATAAAAAGCAAACTTTTCTTTCCTTAACTTATTCATTTTGTGCGGTTCTGCTTTAATTCTTATATAAGCTGCAGTTTGGTGGGTGACGTTTTCCTTTAGTATAAAGTAATTAGATCGGCTATATTGTCAATACAGTGGAGAGTGCATACAAGGTTGCAAGATCTCAACTGGGGAATTTCAGTTTCTGGTCAAAACATATGTTGAAAGTTCCTTTATTTGATTCTGGTCTTTTTATAGTTCTAGGTCCTCGTTTTGTAGAAGAATTTCACCCTGAGAAGGAAGTCTATTTTTGAACAGGAACTGAAATTTAAGTAAGCTGCTCTCTGTAAAATTTTCGGGTGACAGAATGGCTTCGTCGAATACTACAGCAGTGACTAAATGTCCATCTCCAATGAAAGCAACATCGAACGGCATTTTCCAGGGCGATCATCCTCTTGATTTTGCTCTCCCTCTTGTCATTCTGCAAATATGTTTGGTAGTCGTACTTACTCGCGGGCTTGCTTTTCTTCTCAGGCCGTTAAAGCAGCCACGAGTGATTGGAGAAATTATTGTAAGTCTCTTTGTTCTTTTGATGCTAAAACTGATCATGTTGGATTAGAATACTTTTAGTTTACATCTGTTTGTAGTAATAGACTGTTGCATACACAAGTTTGATAAAGTTTTCATATTGTTATTTTGGTTCTTTGAGGGGAATGCAACTAGCTCTTGAATTTAAAACCGCTAGGAATTGAGATGCTGCTTTATTTTAAGTGCTAGAGAACACCCTTCTGAGTTATCTCTTATTGCTAAATTTGCAGGGAGGAATACTACTTGGTCCATCTGCTCTTGGACGTAACACAAACTTTCTTCATACGATATTTCCACCAAATAGTATAACACTGTTAGATACTATAGCAAATATTGGATTGTTATTCTTTCTCTTTCTTGTGGGTCTTGAGTTAGATCTACAGTCAATACGTCGTACCGGAAAGAAGGCCCTTGGCATTGCCATTACTGGAATATGCCTTCCATTTGTATTAGGAATTGGATCATCATTTGTCCTCCGAGGAACCATTTCCAAAGGTGTAAATGCTTCTGCGTTTCTCATATTCATGGGTGTTGCACTTTCAATAACGGCATTTCCTGTCTTAGCTCGTATTCTTGCCGAGCTTAAACTTCTAACCACTGACGTCGGTAGGCTGGCCATGTCTGCTGCAGCAGTGAACGACGTAGCTGCCTGGATTCTCCTTGCTCTTGCCATCGCATTATCTGGCTCTGATAAATCTCCCCTAACTGCGGTTTGGGTCCTTTTATCTGGCTGCGCCTTTGTCGTTGCAGCTATTGTCATTTTATCCCCAGTTTTCAAATGGATTACCAAGCAATGTTTTCAAGGGGAGCAAGTAAGTGAAATCTACATATGCGCCACATTAGCTATCGTCCTAGCCGCTGGATTTTGCACGGATTTTATTGGGATTCATGCTATGTTTGGAGCTTTTGTTGTAGGAGTATTAGTTCCAAAGGATCGACCATTAGTAGGTGCTTTGGTAGAGAAAATAGAGGATCTTGTTTCTGGTCTTTTCCTACCTCTTTACTTTGTGTCAAGTGGATTGAAGACCAATGTAGCCACAATTCAAGGAGCACAGTCCTGGGGTCTTCTAGTTTTAGTCATAGTTACTGCCTGTTTTGGAAAAATCGTTGGCACTTTTATCGTGWCGGTTCTTTGTAAAATACCTGCGCGTGAGGCTCTCGCGTTAGGATTTCTAATGAACACCAAAGGTTTGGTGGAGCTTATTGTTCTCAATATTGGAAAAGACAGAAAGGTAAAGTAGCTTATAAGGCTCTCACTTTATACGGTTCTTTTTCCTTTTCTTGGAGATCTGATTTGCATGTTTGTATGATTCTGCAGGTTTTGAATGATCAGACCTTTGCAATTATGATTCTAATGGCTCTTTTTACTACTTTCATCACCACTCCTCTTGTCGTTGCTGTATACAAGCCAGCGAGGAGCGCCAAATTAGGCGATTATAAGCACAGGAAAATCGAACGGAAAAACAAGAACACACAGCTCAGGATTTTGACCTGTTTCCATAGTGCAAGAAACATTCCATCAATTATAAATCTGCTGGAGGCCTCGAGAGGGACTGAGAAAGGTGAAGAACTTTGTGTATATGCAATGCATCTCATGGAGCTGTCTGAGAGGTCCTCAGCCATTCTAATGGTACATAAGGCGAGGAAAAATGGTTTGCCTTTCTGGAACAAGGGCCAGAGGTCAGATTCCAACCATGTTATCGTCGCGTTTGAAGCTTACCAACAACTGAGCAGAGTATTCATCCGACCGATGACAGCCATCTCTTCGATGTCTGACATACACGAAGACATCTGCGCTACTGCTGAAAGGAAAAGAACTGCAATCATAATTCTTCCGTTCCACAAGCACCAGAGGGTGGATGGTTCACTAGAGACTACTCGAAGCAGCATCCGCATCGTTAATCAGAATGTTCTCGAGCATGCTCCATGTTCGGTTGGAATATTGGTTGATCGTGGTTTGGGTGGAACAACCCATGTTTCATCGAGCAATGTTTCGTTTTTCATCACGGTTCTATTCTTTGGTGGTGGAGATGATCGCGAAGCGCTTTCTTATGGAGTTCGCATGGCCGAGCACCCTGGCATTAGATTGATGGTAATACGTTTCTTTGTTGAGTCTGAGCCTGTTGGGGAGATAGTCAGTGCTGATACCCTCGGGAAATCTTCTGCGAAGACCGTTTCTCAGGACTCTCAGGACGAGGAGTTTCTTGCTGAATTCAAGCAAAATGTGGGCAAGAGTGATTCCATCACATATGAAGAGAAAACCATAAAAAGTGCTGCAGAAGCAATGGATGCAGTGCAGGAGTTGAAAAACTGCAATCTGTATCTCATCGGCCGAACACCGTATCTCAAAGCAAGCTCTGGCTTAAACAGAAGCGACTGTCCGGAGCTCGGTCCAGTTGGGAACCTGTTGACTTCACCAAACTTCCCGATTGCAGCATCGGTTTTGGTGGTGCAGCAATATCGCTCCGGTTTACCGGTGAATTTGGCTTCATATTCTGCTGAGGGAGAATCAGAATCAGCATAGTTTTGCTTCTTGCTGCTGTTAGAATTCACCGGTGGAATAAAAACTGGACATTACATTACACATTCTTGAGTAGCACATAGGAGAAGAAGAGGAGCATCTTTGTGGATCATAGTTTTACATTTCTCAACTTTCTACTTTTTGGTATCAACTCTGATATATGATTGTTGTGTTACTTGAACTGCAAATAATATTTGCCAAATATAACCAGACTCTTTTTTCCTTTGTTTTTTGGGAACCGGTGTGTCGAGCGATCTGCACACTGTATCGTGTTCATAGTTTTGTCCTCCAAGTCCTTGGAGAGGCTTCGCCTGATTAGTTTCAAGAGACGAGGATTTTAAATTATTAAAGGTTCGTTCGGTAACGTTTTCGTTTCTTACTTCTTGTTTCTAATTTTATTAAAAAATCTATATATTGTATAGCTATTCATGTTTCTTGTTTTTCATTTTTACACAAACATTTTTAAAATTCCATAAACATTTTCAAAATTCTATAGAATTTTTAGAAACAGTTTTTTTTTTTCTATTTCCAAATTATTTCAAAATATAAATAAAAATATTGTTTGTTTTCGAATTTATAGGTGCTGGGTTATGCAATTCTATTTTTCTTTATTGAAAATGAGGAAAAGACAAACATAAATAAGAATCGAGAACGTTACTAAACGAACCCTAAAATTTTAATTTTAATTTAAGAGGGTTCGACATTTTTTTCAAAGTATCTCTCATTATTTTGTTACCCAATTTTTGGACGCCATCTTCTTATTTAACTATTCCACAAGTCATTCAAGAAAATGAAAAAAAAAAAAAAAAAAGCTTTTGACCCGTACTTTAAGAAAGTACAAAATAAATTAGGCTCTATAGTTTAAAATTTATAATAAATTTAATCCCTACCCTAAAAAATCTCATCAATATTAATTGTTGGTTCTTATTATATAACCATTTTGACTATTTAACCACTCATAATTTTACTACCTATATAATAAATCTTATTAAATCTTAATCTAAGTCGACATATTGATGTTTTTTCCACCTTGTTGATGTTTTTTCTTTTTGTTTTTTGTTTTTTTTTCCTTTTTACTTTCTCGGTTTATTTTTTATTTTCTTTTACTATTTACTTTTTCCTTTTTTTCGTTTTCTTTTACTTTTTACTTTTTCGTTTTTACTTTCCTTTTTCGTTTCTTACTTTTTACTTTTTCATTTTTCTAAACTTTTTACTTCTTTTTAAAATTTCTATTATTAAATCCACTTTTCTTTTCAAATTTAAAATCTACACAATTTTTAAATATTCATCCAATTTTCCAATCAAATTTACCTAACTTCTAAATACATTTTCTAATTCACTCAAATTTTATTTATTATTTTCTATGAGTATTTCATCATTTATGTGTGTATATATCGATATTTAATATATCTTGTTCAATTATGTAACTAAAGACTAAATTGCATTAGAAAATATCAGTACAACATAATCAAGCAACATTGAACTTTAATTTACAAATTCAAATAATTTTCATGTGTGTATACATGATTTTGTTCTGACGTTTTCATCGCAACGACATTTCCATAAGTATATTACTTATATATTTAGATATGATGGTAAAAAATTATCAATTATAGGTTGATTATCTACAATTAAAGTCTTATTTACTAATTCAAAAAATTTGCATCAATATCCACAATTTTCGTGATTCTTCCCCAAATATCAGTCGATATCGACATATCCATAAAAGCGAGACCTCTACATTTCCATCGACATCGACATCGATATTTCAAACCTTAATCTTACTACCATTTTGAATGATAGAGACTAAATTGATACAAATTTAAAAAAAAATTATTTTAGTCGAGCATTTTTTTTAAAAACGTGGCCAAAGGGATGGAAAGAGAACGGTGTTGTGGGACCTACGTACCAACCATTTCTAAGTCAAATCCAAGCCCCAACAAATATATAGACATCATTTTCTTAATATAGTTATTAACTAAATTATTTCAAGACATATCTGAGATAATTTGCATCCACCTATGAGATTTATGATTTTTTCATGAACTAATATAATATTAAAAAATGTTAATATCATTTTCAACTATTTAAAACATGTTCAACTTATTTCACGATAATTAGCATCTATTTTTAATTAAGGGATTATAAATTTGAATTCCTCAACCCTTTTTTTTTGTTATAATAAAAGAAATTATTTAAAACTTATTTAGATCATATTGTGTGAAAAAGTAGTTTTTGATGTTAGAGAACCAATCGGATGAATCTTTTGAAAAACCAATTTTTTTTAGAGAAAAAAAAATCAATATCTTATATTTATGCATGCTTTCCTCGATATTTTTAAAGCTAACTATTTGTATATAATTATCAATTATCTTTTTTGAGTATAATTTAGTTCAGATGTGATATATTTTGAAATAAACATTGTAAAAGGAATAAATGAAAACGAAATATAAAGAGCGAGAATATTTTTATAATTCGATCTTTAATTCACCTATGAGCATTTTTATAATTCGATCTTTAATATATTTAAAAAATATATAGAATATTTTAATTTTTTTCAATTATATCATTTCTTTTAAGGTTTTTTTCTTTTATTTTTTTATTTTTACTAACTGACCCAAAAATTTAAGCCCAAATAAAATTTGATTTCATTTCTCAAAATAAATTGTTCTAACCTTTGAGATCAAAAATAAGCTACATAACAACAAGAGCGAGAATGAGTGAAGACGAGACATGAAGTGAGAACGAGGGTGAGTACAAACAAGAAAGAAAATAAATGGGTTAGAGAAACCTATTCCGCGTGCTTATTTTGAGAAATCAAGTCAAATTTTATTTGGGCCAAAATCTTTGGATGTGAAGAAATAATTTCTTTTAGTTATATTAAAATTGCTTGATGATTAAATCTACACGATCAAAAAATCAATTAAGCAAATAATTAATTAAAATTTAATTCATTAATTTGAAAAATTTCAATACATTTCTAACCATATTTTGTTTTTGTTTTTAGAAAATAACAATATGATATATTTACCGACTTGAATCACATCAATATCAAGGTTGAAATCTCAAGCAATGGATTAAATTATTATCAAAGAATCCTTTCCTTTCTCTTTTTGACCTACCAAAAGGAAGAAAATGAGGCATTGAGAGCTCATATTTCACCCACCCACTTAGACTATTTTTCATTTTCATTCATTATAATGAAGACTTTTAACAATTTTCAAACTTGTCTAAAGGTAACAAAACGTAACACATTGATTAGGAGAAAGCACATGCATGCATCTTGATCCCCAATTTGAATGGTTTTATTTAAAAAAAAAAAAAAGCTCTTAACTTAAAAAGCACCTACATTTCTTAATTTAAAAAAGTTTGAAATGACTTTTAAGTGGGATGTGAGATGTTTTTAACGGTAGTGAATTTTAAATAAAAAAGAACATGAATTAATATTGCATCCAAAACCTAACTAAACTAGTTAACGCATATATTATCTACCAAAAGGTTAGAGGTTCAAATATTTGTTGAAATTAAAATAAAAAAAAAATTGTATTTAGAATATTCAACTACATGCCATAAAATTTAAAGGGGACTTTTATTTCTTTAGAATAATTTTCACCATTCCAAAAAATCATATCTAAATCCACCTTTAGAATAGTGAAATTAGTTACCTTGTAACCAATTAAACCCGCTCAATTAATCCATGATGATGATGTTTGGCTAATATAGTCCAAAGTTCTTTAGAAATTTCTCCAAATACTTGAACCATTTTAAATAAAATAAAATATTTTTAAAATAATCAAACTCACTCCTCTCACTTTTTCAATGGTGGAAACTTAATCGTTATATTTAAAATATATATATATATATATATATATAGACCAAATGGTTAAAAAGAAAAGACTAAAATAATATAAGAGCTAACTTATATTTTTTTTTTAATTAAAATGTGTTATTTTAGTTTAAAACTAGGTTCCATTTGATTTTAGTTTTAGTGATTCTTTTTAAACTGGGTTTATAAAAAATACTTTGTACTTATACTTTCTTAATTTGGTATGGAGAAAAATGTTAAACGTATAATTCTTTAACAAAAAGTTAGAACTAAAAGTCTTTGAGCTATAAAATATAATTGAGTGATGGGAAATTGGAAAACAGAAGAGGCAATTAAACAAAGGTTTTGAAAATGGTTAAAAAAAAAAAAAAAAGATAGATTGAAAGCCAACTCCTTACCTACCATTATAATTTGGACAAACACAGTTTGGCCACCACACCCACCAATTGGAAAACAAAACCCTAATTTACCTACCTCTCACCAATCTTCCAATTATGATTAATAATTCAATCTTTTCTATTTAAAATAAATAAATAAAACTCTAACAAATAGAATAATTTATGACTCGTTTTGTAACGTTCGTGTTTCTGTATTTGGTAACTATTTTTGTTTCTTATTTGTCATTCTTGAATTCATGGGTGTTTGAACTATATATGTAATTCTATTTTTCTTTGTTGACTTTTTAAATAGGGCGGACTTTTTGAATAATTGAATGGATTGTTTAGCTAGAAAGCCTCTAGCAGTCCGTGTATTAATAATAATTAACTAATTAAAGTAAAACAAAAAACTAGTCAAAATGTTGAATGGCTCACACACCAACATGTAGGGATCTTTGCCTGGTGTTTTACTCATAAAAATGCAATATTCCAGCTCCAATTATTTATTAGTCTCGAACCATGGTTTTAAATATCCGTCGATACGTCAATATTTTCATCGACATATCGATGTTTTCATGGGTTCGACATCGATATGAAGGGTAAATCGATATTTTCATCATTATACAAGAAAATTGACAAAATATTAAAAAATATCAACAAAATGTCACTAATATATACATAATATTAAGATTAATTATTTTTAACTAATTTAGAAATAGAAAAATGTTAATTTGTTCATTTAAATATTTTTTACGATTTTTTTTTAATTTTTCTAACTTTTACAGAAATATCCATCAATATCGACATTTTATCGATATTTCCATGAAATTGAGACCTCAACATTTTCATCGACATCGACATTTAAAACCTTGACTCAAACTACACATTTAGTCTAATTTTTAAATTTTGATGGACTCTATTTAGTTCTTAAATTTTTAATTTTAATTCTATTAAGTATTCAGTTGATTAAAACGGTTATTAAATATTGATATGATACATTAATTTAATTGTACTAACGAATAGTAATGACTTGACACAATACAACATGAGAATAGGTTAATTAGATAAAATAAAGAGGGGTAAAAACAGCGCTGATTGGAGAAATGGTCCAAA